ATTTCAAAATAGAGTTACCATATGATCCAGCACCCTATTCTTGAGTACTCAGCAAAAGAATTGGAAAAAAAGTCTCAAAAAAGTGAGGCTGGAGAGATGGCTCAGGGGTTAAGAGCACTGAGTGCTCTTGTAGAGGACTCAGGTTCAATTACCACCTCCCACATGGTGGCTAACAACCATCTGTAACTCCAGTTCCATGGGATCTGATGCCCTCTTCTGACCTCCACAGGCACTGCATGACAGGGGTAAACTTACATGCAGGCAATACACTCATACACGTAAAATAACAATTAAAAAATAAAAATAAAAAAGTCTGTACAATATTACTGTAACTGGGGCTGGAGAGATGACTCAGCAGTTAAGAGCACTGGCTGCTTTTGCAGAGGACTCGTGTCCAATTCCCAGCACCCACATGGTGGCTAACAACCATCCTTAACTCCAGTTCCAGAGGATCTGACAGCATCTCTGACCTCCACGGGCACTGCATGACATGGGTACACCCACCTATATACAGGCAATACATTCATACACATAAAATAAAAATAATAGGCCGGGTGTGGTGGGGCATGCCTTTAATCCCAGCACTCGGGAGGTAGAGGCAGGCAGATCTCTGTGAGTTCAAAGCCAGCCTGGTCTCCATAGCGAGTTCCAGGCCAGCTGGGGCTACAAAGGAGACCCGGTCTCAAAAAGACCAAAAAAAAAAAAAAAAAAAAAACCACCCACTATTACAATAGTCAATATGAAAACAATTGTATCCATCAATGAAGAACAGATAAGCACAACACAGTGTATTTGCACAGTAGAATAATTATTCAGACTTTAAAAGGATGGAAATCCTAACATGTTACAAGATAAATGAACCTTGAGAACATTATAATAAGTGAAGCAATCTAGTACAAGAAACATTGTAACCATCTACTTGTACTCAGTTCACAGAAACAAGGCTGAGAGTCGGCAGAGTGCTTGCCTAGCATGCACAAAACCTTGTATTCAATCCCCAGTACCACATAAACCAGACACGGTGGCACACAACTATAATCACAGCACTTGGGAGGTAAAGGCAGGAAGTTCAGAAGTTCAAGGTCGTTTGGGGGCTGGAGAGATGACTTGATGGTAAAGAGTGCTTGCTGCTCTTTCAGAGGCTCAGAGCTCAGTTCACAGCACCCATGTCAGGTGGCTCCCAACCACCTGTAACTCCAGCTCCTGGGTATCTGACACCCTCTTTTGGCCTCCTAGAGAGATACACACAGACACATAAATAAAAATTTTAAACTTTTAAAGTCTTAAAGAAAAGAAATTCAAGGTCCTCCTCAGTTACATAGGGAGTTTGCTGCCAGCCTGTGCTACATGAGACTTTGTCTCAAAAAACTTTTGGGGGAGCTGGAGAGATGGTTCAGGGGTCAAGAGCACTGGCTGCTTTTGCGCAGGACCTGGGTTCATTCAGTTCCCAGCACTCAAATGGCTGCTAACAACTAACTGTAGCTCTAGATCCAAGGGCAGCCAATGTCCTCTTCTGGTCTCTGTGGGCATTGCATGAAATGGTGCTCTTAAATACATGTAGGCAAAATACTCACAAAATAAAAATAAATCATTTTTTTTCCTATAGAGACAGAGTTGGGAGTGTAGCTTAGTGGTAGAGAACTTGCCTTGAGTTCATTCCCCAGCCCTGGAAAAACAAAAACAAAACCCCCACAAATGTATAAACAGAAACAGAAAGAATGCTGGTTACCAGGAACTGAGGAGATAGAAAAAGGGGGAGTTGTTTAATGAGTACAAAGTTTCAGTTTTGCAAGATGAAAAAGTTCTGGAGATCTGCTTCACAACAATGTGAATATACTCAGAAGTTCAAACCTGTTCACATAAGAATGATTAAGACAATGAATCTTATGTTCTTTGGAGTCTTGGATCGAGCCATGCATGTACTCTACCCTGGAGCCACTTGTTATGTACTTTATTTATAGTGAAAAAAAAATGTTCTCTGAGAAAAAGGATACAGCTCAGCTTATAACCCAGTTGTGCAAGTGCTGTTATTTGAGATAACATCAGATCTCCCATATAGCAGAAGAACTTGATGTGGGCTTCTTATTTTATCAATAAGACAAAAGACATATGAGGGACTGGAGAAATGGTTCGGTGGTATTTGCTATGCAATCATGAGGACCAGAGTTCAGATCACAGTACCCACATAACAAGTTAGGCATCCTGTGCATGCCTGTAACTTCAGCTCTGAAGGGGATATAGACAGGAAAACCCAGGGGGCCTGCTGGCTTCCAGTCTAGGTGAAAATGTGAGCCCCACATTCAGGGAGAGACCCTGCCTCAAAGTCATAGGTGAGTCCTCTGTACATGCAAGTGTATACTCACATACACATGGACATACACTCACAAACGCAGACACACACATAAATAAAAAAATTATTTAAAGACATGAATAAACCATGTGAAAAAAGATACAATTTAACAAAATTAATAATTTTTAGGGCTAGGCATGTAGCTGTGTCGTAGAGTGAATGTTTAGCATGTGTGAGGCTCTGAGTTTGATAATCACCACTGTAATAATAGTTATTCCTTAGAAAAGGGTAAGCTTTTGGTTTCCAGTTTGTTGATGAAATACAGCTCTCGCCTCCCAGGGAATTAGAGATCGTTTATTCTGGAACCAAATGTGAGTGACCACAGCCCAGGAACACAGATTCAGGTTGCCCTACATACTACATATCATGCTCCAATTTCTTTTTTTTTTTTTTGGTCTTTTTGAGACAGGGTCTCCCTGTAGCTCCAGCTGTCCTGGAACTCACTATGTAGACCAGGCTGGCCTTGAACTCACAGAGATCCACCTGCCTCTGCTCCCGAGTGCTGGGATTAAAGGTGTGCACCACCACGCCTGGCTTCATTATGTTTTTATTGTAACAGAACAGAAAATGTCATATGAATTGAGACACTTTCCAAATACATTGGTGGAGACTTACATAGATGGTTACAGCAAATCATGGAACTGTGCTGTAGGCCTCAGATGCTATCGGATGATACTCTGAGCTTTTGAATTGGTGGAATCCAGATGGCAGATTGGGGTCTGTTTGTACATTCCAAAAAGATTTATCTAGTAGTCACAAGAATGTTAGGTCACACACAGAGGTGGACAATAAATGACTACTAAGGGTACCAAAGATAGCCCGAGGTAATTTGGCTCTAGATCTGTAGCATTCCAGCTCTCCTCAGTCACAGAAGTTCTAATCAGTCGATTGCCCTTGTTGAATGTTTAACACAGGTATAGATTTTTTTCTGAGAACTTCATAAGCTCAAAGGAGGCTAAGGGACAACTTCCTTCAGTCACCCCAAAGTCCTAGTTCACCTGACACCAGTTACTTCTACCTTGCTACTTACATCCCAGTGAGATCACGTACCTGAGAGGTTCTGGTGGCCAAGTCAATACCATGTCTGTCCTGACCCCAAGATCAGCCCTGGGATCTGAGGATTCCAGTGACATTGACCACTTGTCTGACCAGGTCATCAAAGCCCCCAAGGATCCACCAAGAGACAGAAAAACACTAAATAGAACATAGCTTTTGATGACATTGTCTACATTGCCTAACAGATATGACATCAATCTTTAGCCAAAGAACTCTCTGGAACTATTAACAAGCTTTTGAGGACAGCCCATCTTGAGGTTTTTTTTATGTGTAGGAGTGTTTTCCCTACATGTATGTAAGTGCACCCATCTCGTGCAATGCTCATGGAGGTCAGAAGAGAGCATCAGATTTCCCTGGAATTAGAGTTACTGATGGTTGTTAGCTGCCATGTGGATGCTGGGAATTGAACCAGGATCTTCTGCAATGCTCTTAACTGCTGAGCCATCTCTCCAGTCCCCCATCTTAAGGTTTTATATGAGTCACTGGGCTCCTGGTTTTTTTTTTTTTTTTTTTTCGGTCACACAATTGTACACATCTTTGGTTAATTCCCATCATGGCAACTGTGTTTTGTCATTCTGTCAAGAGTTTGAGGCTAACACAAACTATACAAATCCTTGAGACACCTTGAGTGTGTCACTTTACTACTGTTTGTCCAACTACTTACTTACTTTTATCACAGGACTAGCTCCTGCCCTGCCCTGCCCTGCACTGGAGCACTTCCTGGGGAATCTCAGTAGAGAAAGGGCTGGGGTAGTAATCAGATAAGGAATCCTGATTGCCACCACTCCTTCCATTGCAACAAAAACAGGCTCCGAGCTTTTCCTCCCATGGGCCCAACAAGGAGTGGTCCTAGTCTGAGAGTTCTGCAGACTCAGAGGACCATGTGTCCTGAATCATCAGCTATGCCCCACCTCCTACTCTGGAGGGGTCCCTGGGAGAGGTGGGCAGCAGCTCCTGGATAGGGTTATCTGAGAGCTACCTGGGGGACACAGAAATCTCAGTGTCCATGTCCGTTTCATCCTTACAGGACATTTTGTTCTCATTTCACCTAAAGACTCTTCCCAGTAATGTCAGCTGTATGTCAGTAGAACCAGAGGACTTTTTAGGGGAAAAAGTAAAGTGGGAGTGGGAAGTAGGTGGCCCCAGGTGGCCCCAAGAGTGTCCTAGGTTTGCCCTTCCAGTGCTTACTTTGGATCAAGGGCCGTGCAGGAAGCTCTCAAGAGCATTGCACAAGAGCAGAGGACTAGAAGGCCTGGAGTGGCTCTAGATGGGTTCACAGTGACACTCACTCCCAGCCCTGCCTCAACATCCCCCCACAGGCCAGAGCTGGGACTAAGTGTAGAGGTCTTTCAAGCAATAACCTTGAAAAGATAGGGAGTCGGTCCAGGGGAACTGGGGAAGGGGGAAAAGGGCCTCAGCCAGGACAGGGGAGGTGTGTAGAAATGTCCCTGTTGAGAAAAGACAGGATCAAAACACTTGGAGGGCTCTCAGGACACAAGCAAACACTGAGGTCAGCCTGCTCCCACGGATCCCAGCCCTCTACCCCGCTATAAGAGGCCCTGTCCTAAGCCCAGTGCCAAGATGTAGAGGGGCTATGGCCAAGTCACATCTGCTGCAGTGGCTGCTGCTGCTGCCCACACTTTGGGGCCCAGGTGCGGGTGAGTCTCCCAGCCTCCTTCACAGAGGCATCTCCACCACTTACAGAGCTAGCTCTGTCCCACAGCAACCCTAATCTGCACATAATCCCGAATTTAAAGACAAATCAGCAGAGGGCCAGAGCTGTCCTGGGGCCTGTCCAAGGTCACAGTTAGAGGATAATGGACCAGGAGGACCCAGAGTTGTCTAACATGAGTAATGGCCATGCATTTGCAGTAAAACTGGGCTGGAGGCTGGGGAAGTCAGGATTTCAGATGCAGCCTGAATCCTGATTAAAGTTGGTCTGACCCCAAATTGTAGCTGTCGGAACAGCCTCACCTCTGGACTGCACACAGGGCCCAAAATTCTGGTGCCAAAACTTGGAGCAAGCGATGCAATGCAGAGCTCTAGGGCACTGCCTACAGGAAGTCTGGGGACATGTGGGAGTTGTGAGTACCACCTAAGGATGCACTGGGGATCTGAGAGGGATGGTGAAGTTGGGCTCCAAATGGGCCTGAGGAGAATGAGTCTGCCATAGGGGCTGGGATGACATGAAATGGTACAGCATAGAGTGGGGTGGACAGGATGGGATGGGATGAAAAGGATGAAATGTGGTGACAAAAAAATGGAAAGAGAGGAATGGGATAGGATGACAAAATGTGGGATAGAGTAGGATGAACTGAATCGATGGATGAGTTGGGTAAAATGACGTAGGATGGGATGGAATGGGTGGATGGCTTAGATGGATAAATGGGATGGATGAATGGGATGGATGGGGTGGGTGGGTTGGATAGGATGGGATGGGTGGGATGGATGGGACGAATGGGATGGATGGGATGGGATGCAGTGGAACAGCTACAGTGGAATGGAATGGAATAGAATTTGTGCAGTGGGGAGCATACCTACACCTTGGAGGGACCTACCAACCTGTGCCTGAGGCATCCTCACTTCCTGGAGCTGGGAACATACCCCCAACTCATATGTCCCTCGGGGTTCTCTTCCCAGGATGACCTGTGTCAAGAGTGTGAAGACATTGTCGGCCTCCTCACAAAGATGACCAAGGAGGTGATTTTCCAGGTAATGGAGTCTAGATCCTAGATGAAGTCTGGGGAACGAGAGACAAGGGGCAAAGCAAAGGAATCGGCCTCCTAAAGGAGTATTTCCAGGTGGGGTCCCCACACTCCTCCAGCACAGAAGCAGGTCCACAAGACTGAACTTAGCTAAGCCAGAGATGTCTTTCCTGAGAGGAAGAGGCCCTGCGTGAGCCTAGCTACTGAAATCCTTGGCACTCCCAAAATGCCAGCGTCTTGGAAGAAGGGGTCCGGGGTGCCCTGTGGCAGCCTTGTATCAGGGGACTCTGGTGGGGTTAGATTTCACAGAGGCCAGGATGACTGTCTCCCCACTGTCTTCCCAGGACACAGTCCGGAAGTTCTTGGAGCAAGAATGTGATATCCTCCCCTTGAAGCTGCTTGTACCCCGGTGTCGCCAAGTGCTTGATGACTACTTGCCTCTGGTTATCGACTACTTCCAGAGCCAGATTGTAAGGGTCCCAACCTGCCTGTCACATCTGCTACATAGCTCCTGTGCCTGAGTGACCAGTTATTCCTATCTCCTGTATTACAGACAGACAGACAGACAGACAGATGCACACACACACCAGCCAGACACACACACACAGCAACCCCCTATACACAGCATCTTCTCCCCCAAAAGCACACACACACACACACACACACACACACACACACATACATGCACACATGCCACCCAAGACATACACAGACACCCTGCCCACTACCATCACAGGAAACTGGGAACCTTCTGCCAGGCACCCAGATCAGAGCTTACCTGCTCAGCAACACACTACAGTCACTCAGACACACACCCTCACACATATGGCCCCATTCTTATTTATTCTTACATAATATGGTCACACACATTTACACTTTCCCAAACACCTGCCCCAAGTCCCTACACAACCCCATCTCTGCCTTTGCTCTCCCCTTTCCCTAGAGTCCTGAGACACAGCACCCCCAACTGGCCTACTCCCCATTGTTCCAGACTCAAAGATTGTGACCCTTGTTCCTGAAAATAACCTGGAGAGAAAGGGGTTTTCTCCTGATCCTAACATCCCTTACCTGTTCTATACCCTAGAGTCCAAAAGTCATCTGTAAGTATGTGGGCCTATGCCCACTTGGACAGGCCAAGCCAGAGAAGGAGCCAGGGATGAAGGGTGTTCTGCTGGACCCTGTACTGAACAAGCTGGTTCTTCCTTCTCTACCCGGAGACCTCTTGGCAAGGCCTGGCCCTCATACACAGGTAAAGGAGGCCTTCCACAGCCATTTGTCAGGGCTTAGGGGGTCCAGAAGGCTAGAGCAGACACATGAGCACTGGGAGGAATGGAGGCTTCTTAGAGGGAAAGAAGCTCCAGGCAGGGCCTAAACTAAGAGGCAGGGACAGTGAAAAGGAGTGGGAAAGGCAAGGCCTGGAAGACACCTCCCAGCAGCAGCCCCATCTCCACCCACTTTTCTCCCCAGGATCTCTTGGAGCAGCAGTTTCCTATCCCCCTGCCCTTCTGCTGGCTCTGCAGGACTCTGATCAAGCGGGTCCAAGCTGTGATCCCCAAGGTGAGGCATCAGTGTCCAGGACCACACAAAGCTCTGGAGGGCTCTCCCATAGCTACACCTTTCCCCACCTCAACTCACCTTGAAAGCTATGAGAAGTTAGATGGGGAGCCACCCATGTATTGCCCCCACCCAAGGAACCTTAAGGCTCAGGCATGGGAGAAGCGGTCAGGCCCAGCCTTCTCCAGCAGCTTATCATCTGAAGACTAAGAATCCCTAGTTGTTGCTATAGAAAAGATGTATTCATTTCTCAAAAGTAGGCTCCCATCCCTGTGGCCTCCAAATCCATGCTGACTTTGCTAATGGCCCCTTCAGCCCAGTATTACCCTTCCCCCGATGGCCATGCCCTCATCAACATGGGATCCTGCAGGGCATGTGATCACTGAGGCTCACAGCAGAGGACAGGGTCCAGCTTTCTCAAAGCCTATGCTGTGGAAGGACCTTTCAGATTACAAAACCTGTAAAGGGTTCACACAGATGAAATGATGAGTGTTAGACAGGTGGGCCAAGGCGGGGCTCTGAGGGGATAATGATTAAACTAAGACCTGGGGTCCATAAGGCCCTAATGGGCCAAGGGTATCCATCAATCAAAAATGAGCTCAGAGGGCTAGGGAGATGGCTCAGTGGATAAAGTTCTTTTTGTGCAAACATGAAGATGTAAGCTCAGATCCCCAATACCCATTTAAAGAGCCGAGTGTAGCAGTTCACAGGAGATCCCTGGAGCTTGGTGGTCATCCAGTCTAGCCAATCAGTTGAACTCCAGGTTCAGTAAGAGAATTTGTCTTAAAAAATGAAGCAGAAAGCCTGGAGAGATGGCTCAGTAGTTAAGAGTGCTTGCTGCTGTTCCAGTATCCATGTTGGGTGGCTACAACTGTGTGTTACTCCAGCTCCAGTGCCGTAATCTAGGCTTCCTGGGCACCTGCACACATGTGGCACACACACACACACACACACATACACACACACACACACACACACACATACACACAAATAAAAATAAATCTTAAAAAATATAAGCCAGGCATATTGGAACACTCCTTTAATCCCAGCACTTGGGTGGCAGAGGCAGGTGGATCTCTGAGTTTCAAGCCAGACTGATATACATAGTGAGTTCCCGGCCAGCTGGGGCTACAGGGAGACACTGTCTCAAAAAACCAAAATAATAATAATATGGTAAATGACCAAAGACGCCTAACATTGACCTCTGGCCTCCACACACTTGCACATATATATGCACATAGACACAAACATGTAACCATATACAGGTAAAAAAAAAAAAATAAAAGATAGCCATATTAACATGAGCATCATTGGCTGAAGACCAGATAGAGAGTCAAAGGCATGGGCAGGACCATCAAAGGACAGTATGTGGAGATAGCAGCAGAAGTGTTGAGATGGCCAGCAAGGTGGGGGACCGTAGTGTGGTGCCAGGGAAGCCTGGAGAGGACAGTGTTTTGAGAAGGAGGGCATTCCCCTGAGCAGAGAACTGCTGAGCCACCAGTCAGGATGATGGCAGGGCAGTGCCAACCTGTTCCAGAAGGGGGAGAGGCACTGGGAGGCCTCCTAAGATCAACAGTCATTTTAACGTGTACCAGTCAGCATAGGTGAGAGCGAGGGTAAGGCTGGGGAGATACTGATTGAGGTGGCCCAGGGGTGAGACCCGGTTCACCAGTGAACAACCTGGGCACTGACAACAAAGACTGGTCACCAGTATCACCATAACAGGAGAGGAACCACACACATGTGGGTAAATTTGGTGGAGAGTTCCATTTGGGAGGTATCACATCCCAGGGTAGGTACCCTCTCCTGGCACTGGAGCCAACTTGTCACATGTGTGACTAAATAAAGGCATAAAGGAAGAAGTCCCATGCCTGTGAAGTCACATGCCTCGTTGCCCTTCAACTTAGAGGTTGTTTGGAACTGAGGTGAGGTGGGCAAATGGCTGCCTTTCCCCGAGTGGTTCCTAAAGCTTTGAGAGCCAATGGGAGGAGCTATCTGTCTCCCTGATGCTCAGAAATAGTAGGGCTGCCTTGGGCCAGGAGATGAGCTTCTAGCAGCCCTGGCCTTCTGTCCTTTCCAGCGAGTCTAGAGCTTTTGAAGTTAGATCTAGGTCTGGTACTCTCTCAGTGACTCCAGGCATGCCTCTTGGGTCCTCTGTACTCTGGATGCTCAGTGGCCTATCTGTGAACAGCACTTACTCTCCCTCCTTGAAGTGAGTGAAGTGATGTGTGGTAGGCACTTGAAAGCCTACCAGAGGAAGGTCCCACGTTGCCCTCTCTCCACCTCCACCCCAGGGTGTGCTGGCTGTGGCTGTGGCCCAGGTGTGCCACGTGGTACCCCTGGTGGTGGGTGGCATCTGCCAGTGCCTGGCTGAGCGCTACACAGTCCTCCTGCTGGATGCGCTGCTGGGCCGTGTGCTACCTCAGCTGGTTTGTGGCCTTGTTCTCCGATGCTCCAGTGAGGACGCTCTTGGCCCAGGTGAGCCTACTGTTACCACCCTCAACCCCTGCTACCCTGCTTCCTTGGTCCTGAGAGAGCACCTCTCCCCAACCCATGTCCCTACAATGCATGGGGGCTGGGGGGGTTGACAAGGTGGGGGACAGGAGCCAACACTTCTAAAAGATAGCTTTTGGGGGAAGTTTAAGGCAGTCTTACTATGTAGCTCAGACTGGCCTCAAATTTGGGGTGAGCCTCCTGCCTCGGCCTCTCAAGTGCTGGTATTACAGGTATATGCAGTGGCATAATTTTGGCTGTTTTCTCATTAGCCCTCCCCGCTCTGGGGTCCCTGACAAAAGAATGGCCACAAGAAGACCCGGAGTGCCGCCTGTGCATGACTGTGACCACCCAGGCCTGGAACACCAGTGAGCAGGCTATGCCACAGGCAATGCACCAGGCCTGTCTCCGCTTCTGGCTGGACAGGCAAAAGGTACAAGGTGGCCACACAGGGAACACAGGACCCAGGTGGTCACACAGGGAACGCAGGACCCAGGGTCTGTGGGTGGTGAAGGGTGGTGAAGGCTTTGCAGCCAGAGACACATGTAACAGACTGGACTGGAGCCCCGTCAGGTAGACAGAAGTGGGTCAGACAACAGCGGGACTATCACAACTGTAACTTGTGGCAAAACCTGCTAAGAGTCAGGCTTGGAAAACATCTCTGAACCCAAGGTTCTGGGTTGTGGAGGACCACCAGGCCTTCTTCATGGATAAGGGCACAACCGGGCCTGTCAGTCCCAGTAAGGAAGCCTTACACTGTCCTTTCTTGGCCCTACTCAAGGGTGTACTGGTCATGCTGTGACTCCAATGTGCTATGTGGTACCACAGTGATGGGTGAATCTGACATTGCCTGGTAGACACCAGATGAACAAGATCAGGGCCAGCTGGAGCAGGGAAAGTCTGGCCTTCTCCCAAGTCCTGCTCTCGTCCCCATCCCACTCTGCTCACTGATTCAGATGAGAAAAGTCCACCTGCAAGGGGAGGGCTGGAATTCGGGTGTGGTGGCACTTGCCTATAATTCTAACACTTAAAAGGCAGAGTAAGGAAGAACAGGAGCTCAAGGCCAGCCTCAGCTACATAAATAATGAGTTCAAGGTCAGCCTGAGTTACATAAAGATTATATTTAAAAAATTTTTTTTAAGCTGGGCATGGTGGCTCATACCTTTAATCCCAGCACTTGGGAGGCAGAGGCAGGAAGATCTTTGTGAGTTCAAAGCCAGCCTGGTCTACGTTGTAAGTTCCAGGCCAGCTGGGACTATAGGGAGACCCTGCCTCAAAAATACCCCCCAAAAAAACAAAATTTAAAAAGAGGGCTAGTGAGCTGCCTCAGTGGACACTGCTGCCAAGCCTCATGACCTGAGTTCAAGCCCCAGGGCCCACATGATGGAAGAGAACTAACTCCCTTAAGCTATCCTCTGACTTCCACACATGTGCACACAGACATAGACACACATACATACATACATACATACATACACACACACACTAAAATGTAATTTTTTAAAGAAAGCCTAGACTGAAATGTTCTAGAAGATCCATCAGTACTGAGTTGTTGACAGTAAATTCCCCTGTTGAAGTTTTTTTCTGTTTTTTGTTTTTTAGGTAGTCCAGGCTGACCTTGAACTTCTTCTGATCTTCCTGCCTTCACTTCCTGAGTGCTGAGACTATAAGCATCCACAGGGTTTAACCCCAGGGCTTCATACATGCCAGACAAGCACTCTACCACTGAGCACATCCCAGCTCCAAGTGAGATGATGTTCTGAGGCCCTCAGTTGATCTCTTCTCAGGAGGCAGCCAGGATGCCCTGGCTTTCCCTACAGAAACCTGTTTCAGCCCTCCAGTCTTTAGTAGGAGTCATGGTCAGTCAGAGGTGCTCCTTGGTGCTGACTGCTGGTCCTGCACTCATGGTCCAGAGGGAGTGACCCAGGGAGATGGAAAGGCAGGACTAAAGGAAATCCCAGGTCTACTGTGTGCCTGTCTTTCCTCAGTGCGAGCAGTTTGTGGAGCAGCACACGCCCCAGCTGCTGGCCCTCGTGCCCAAGAGATCGAATGCCCACACCACCTGCCAGGTACGCCTACCCCTCCAGCTGGTACTAGGACTTCCCTCTGCTTTCAGAGCTCCACTATCTCTGGTCCATGATCTTCAGATGCCCCACCCTTCCTGATTCAGGCCACCCCAGATGCAGCTGCCCAGGACTAACTGTCCCCATGTTTGCTTATAAAAAAGGCCGTGGTCCTGGAGAGTTGGCTCAGCAGTTAAGATCACTGACTGCTCTTGCAGAGGACCCGGGTTCGATTCCCAGCACCCACATGGTGGCTACAAACCGTCCTTAACTCCAGTTCCAGGGGAATCCAAATGCTGACCTCCGCGGCATTGCACAACATGGGTGCACTCACATACATGCAGGCAATACACTTGTACATATATATTTTATATATTATATGCACCTTGGTCTCAGAGTACCAAAGAAATAGCACAACAGAATGGAAGAGGAACAGTATGGAATGGGACAGCCAGCCTGAGTTTGTGGTTTGGTGCTCATTAAGGGATGGGATGGGGCTGTTCACTGACCAATGTATGTTCAGTGGTGGGGCTATAGAGTAGGGTGGGTATCCAACCTCTTCATCTCTAAGTCCCAGAGGCCCATGGCTTGGAAAGTGGCACAATGGGTCTCTAGGGTCACACCAAGAGTACCCACTACACAGCAGGTGAAATGAGAGCTGCTCCTCTGGGATGCAGCATGGGGGTGGGGGTCCTCCATGCCCCTTCAGACATAAGCATGGAGAGCAGAGGCTCCAGTGCTGTTTCTGACAGGCCCTGGGAGTGTGTGCAGCCTCCGCCAGCCCTCTGCAGTGTTTCCAAAGCCCGCACCTCTGAGGAGAGCTCAGCCTCCAGGTGAGTCCCACCTTACCTGGGGATAAGGGCAGATACTGGCTTATGAAGGTGTCAGGGCAGCACGTCTACTTGCCCCTTCTGTGGACTAGTACATCCTACCTTTCCCAGGCACAGCTCCCAGCTCCTGAGGGCCTCCAGTACCACATTCAAGAAAAAGCCCTTTTTCTGGACCCATGGTCACTCCCTGCCACCTCACACGATCGCAGCCCTCCTTAGCTCCTACTGAAGATCTCCTCTTCAGCTCCCTCACCTCTGAACTGGCTGACCTTGAGGATCTCACATGTTCAAGCTGAGGCACCATTTCTTGGACCTCAGGAGAAGTCACATTTCACTGTCCAAGCTGTCTCCCCCTCAGATGCCAAGAACACCATGGTCACTTGAGCCCCACCCCCCAAGACCCATCTCTTTCCCTGTGCATTGTTTTCTAAACACTCCATAACCAGAGCCAGGAAATAACTTTGAGAAAGGACACAGCAACAGCAGTCTTGAAGTGACTGACAGCAAAGTAGATCCAGGTCATAGAAGTGCTCAAAGCCAGCCCCTCACAGGATGGTAGTTTATTCATTTGTTCATGTTTTTAAATTCAATGAGTGCCTAAGATCAGACCACAAACCTATCACACTGGTGTGCACAGCCCGGCCCATACCTTCCACGTGAGGAAGGAGGCCATCACTGCCATGAAACCCTTTAAGTCATAGCAACCTGGGAGGTGGGGGCTGATTGTTTCAGCTCATATCTGTCCCACAAGGACAAGTTTAGTGTACCCCTCCCCATCAAGGCCATCTGGGGACCCTGGGGCAAGGGAACCACCCAAGATGGGAGTCACCTTTCCCCAGCTCCCAGGGCTCCAGGCCTTGCCTGCCAAAACAGGAAAAGCAACAGGAGGCCTGATTCTGGTTCCAACTCTGCCAATCAACTAGCAGTGGATCCTGGAGCAAGATTCACAGGCCCCTCTCCACATGTCACTATTTGAGGGGATTCTGGCCTTCTTGAGCTGCCACCATCACACCAAGGCCCCCCTGCCAGATACTCTCCCTGAAAAGGAGCCTTTCCAACCACCCCGCCCTCCCACTTCTTTCCTCACAGCATCCTGCACCAGAGAACCAAAGCCCAGCCTGTTTCTTCAGCCCTGTGTCACCCTATCTGTCCCAGCTCTAACCACAACCCAACACCAGTCATTTCTGTCCCCTCTGGGGATGAGATGCAGCAAGGCCTGTGTCCTCTAAAGGCCTGCAGAGGGGGTTTCAGACCTTCGCACCCACTAGAGCCAAGTCAAACCCTAACAGCCCCTAGGAACCAGGCTGAGGAAACACCACAGTGGGGAGAAACTGGGCCTGGACTGACAAAAACCCTTGCTAACCTTTCTATGAGATTCAAACTTCAAAAGAATAAAAACTGGGAGCATAAGTACTCTAAGAACTGTGGATGCCATTGCTCAGTGGCAGAGCCTTCCCCTAGCATGCTTCACGCCCTGGGCCGCAGCCCCAGCACTATAGGAAAAAGAAAAAAAAATTAGTATGTTTTATGGTATGGTGGCTCATGCCTATAATCTCAGCACTTGAGAAATGAGGCAGGCAGATCTCTGTAAGGCCAAGGCCAGCCTGATCTACATATTGAGTTCCAGGTCAGCCAGAGGTACACAGCAGGATCCCCTCTCAAAAAAAAAAATAGTCCAAAAGATATATGGACAGACATAGGAGACCCTCAATTTGCACTTTAAAAAATCAGGAAGGGCTATTCAGATGACTCAGTGGGTAAAGGCACTTGCCACAAGCCTGAGAACCCCAAGTTTGATCCCAGGAACCCAAGGTTGGGGAAGAGAGCTGACCTCTAACCTCCACACACAAGTACTATGATACATAGGTGCTTCACCACATCATAAACACACAGACACACACACACAGACACACACACACACATACAATTTGGATTTCTTTTTTTTTTTTTTTGGTCTTTTTGAGACAGGGTCTCCAGCTGTTCTGGTAGCCCCAGCTGTCCTGGAACTTACTATGTAGACCAGGGTGGCCTTGAACTCACAGAGATCTGCCTGCCTCTGCCTCTCAAGTGCTGGGATTAAAGGCATGCACCACCACACCTGGCTGGATTTTTTTTTTTTTTGGTCTTTTTGAGACAGGGTCTCCCTGTAGCCCCATTGGCCTGGAACTCACTATGTAAACCAAGCTGGCCTTGAATTCAAGAGCTCCACCTGCCTCTGCCTTCTAAATGCTGGGATTAAAGGTGTGTGTTACCACACCTAACTATTTAAATTTTTTATTTATTTTTAATATATGTGTATGAGTGTTTTGCCCACATGTATGTAAGTGCACTACATGATGCAATGCCAACAGAGGTCAGAAGAAGGCATCAGATCACCTGGAACTGGAGCTACAGACAGTTGTTAGCCACCAAGTGGGAACCCGAGTCCTCTGCAAGAGCAGCCAGTGCTCTTAACTGCTAAGCCATCTTCTCCAGCCCCCAATAGTATTTTTTTAAATCAGGAAATTCCTGACCTGGGCAAGGATGAGGACTTTGTGCTACAGCATGGCAGGAAGATGATGGGGCAGGTTTCCATATTTGAAGTGTTCTGCTGCTAAAATGAAAAAGGAGTTTAGGTGGTAGATGCCTTTAATCCCAACACCTGGGAAGCAGGGGCAGGCAGATCTCTGTAAGACTGAGACCAGCCTGGTCTACATGGTGAGTTCCAGCCCAGCTGGGACTAGAGGAATACCCTTTCTCAAAAAAGACCAAAAAATAAAAAGAAGTTTCTAGAGCTGGAGGTACAACTCAGTGGTAGAGCACCTATGTGCCTAGCATGCTCTGGACCCTAGGCTCTGTCCCCAGCACTGCACAAAAAGGCAGGGACATGGAAGGTGGAGGTCAGATTTCTTTTTGTCTTTTTGTTTGTTTTGAGACAGGGTCTCCCTGTAGCCCCAGCTAGCCTGGAACTCCCTATGTAGACCAGATTGGCCTTGGTGACCAGTCTGCCTCTGTTTTCTGAGTGCTGGGATTAAAGCTGTGCACCATCATGCCCAGCTTATTTTTGTCTTTTTGTAAGGTGTTCCCCAACTTTACTTTCAAATTCAGGGGGTGATTCTAATTCTACCATAACTTATCTGTTCAAAGCTGTTAGGGCTGTGCAAATCAAGGCTCAAGCTCCCATTTAATACAATGCCTATGCTCACTGCTAATAAAGTCCTGTTCGCTTGTGCAAAAAAGGCACTGTCCTTTAAAGGGTGCAGGAACCACAGTTTCACCCTGATGTCACTCTCTTATCCCTACTTCTAGCCTGCCTTCCATCCTGCTGCCCTCCCCTTCCCTAAGAGTTCACTTCTCAAAACAAGCTGAGGGCACCAAGACACCATAATAAGCAAATAACCAAGTGCACTGTTAGTACCAAAGACCTAAGTGTCAGATATGTGTATATATATGTGCGTTAGGGTTCAAGAATAGAGAATAATTCCCACAGATACCCAAAAAGATTATTCAAAAAGTTTATTCAAGAGTTTAAAGAAAAAAAACAACCACAACCAAATGGCAGCTAGCTGGGCACAGACTACACGAGCCAAAGATGGAGTCTGGCCCTGAACAATAGCAGGCAGGGGCTTTTATTGGGGAACTTCACAGAAACCCACGTGCGCCAAGCATCTTTTAAAATAATTGGATGTCCCCATATCCTGTGTATGGGGAAAGTCTTGATTGGTAGGGGCTGTCTTCAGGGCATTGGAATGTGCTGACTGATATCTTTTAGGGCCAGGAGTTTTTGTTCATACCATATAAGGCTTTTACATGTCCAGGCCTTGCTTAATTTATAGCTTGGGGGGGGTAGCAACTGGAAAAATTTACAATATGCCTGAGCTTGTCTGGGCTTGTCTAAAGAAGCTAGCCAAAATGGAGTCAGAGCATTCTGGCTCTTCATTCCCCACTAGAGTTATGGCAAGGGTTAAATCTTTAAGCCAAGCAAATTACAGAAGCAGAAAGAAGCAGTTAGATGGCGCATTTAGGACGGTGGAACCATTCCTGTATTGTCCTAAACCTCGGTTCTATATTGTTGTAAGGCTCGGGGTCTCGATTTAAATGAGTGTACTGCGAATGCAGTACCATCATTTGGACTGTCTGTATCCATTCTCGGGTGAATTTGAGCAAGGCATTAAGAATACAGGGGCCACAGGTGATTGCTAATAGGAGTAAGAAGAGAGGTCTGACTATTGCTGAGATCAAAGTTGTTAACCGGGGACCAGTCAAATAGGGATTCATACCAATTTTGTTGATTTAGTCCTTCATTTTCTCTTTCCTCAAGTCTTTTACGGACCTCAGCCAAAGATTGTTTTATAACTCCCGAGTGATTAACATAGAAACAGCACTGTTCCCCTAGGGCAACTCCTTTTTGTAGAAAAAGTAAATCCGGCCCTCTCCTATTTTGTAAGATTACCTCAGCTAAAGAGGATAGAGAGTCTTCGAGGTGGCAGATAGATGTTTCTAATGATTGTATGTCTAAGTCTATGGCCTGTCTAAGAAGGTGATAATTTTTATCCTGGAGGACTAGTGCTGAAGCCCCCAGACCAGTTGCAATGGTTACTCCAACCCCGAGTAAAGTAGACAGGACAATTGCAGTGGTTCCTATGGCCCTACGAGGTCTATACTCTTCTGAGACTCTGGTTTCCATTTCTATGTCTGTTCTATAATATAGATTGGGAACCAGCTGCACTAGTACACAAAAATCCCTGGTCTGGTTTAAAATGGATGAGTGGAGGCATGTAGCTAAGCCAGAGGTACAGGCCCACCAAGTGGAGTTGGGGGGCACCATATATCTTGAACAGAGTTCAAGATCTCTTGAACAGAGTTACATAGATGTTGGTAAGAAGAGGGGACAATTTTATATGAGGGAGTCACACACAGCCCTTTTCCACACACTTGGGTGAGGGTAAGCCCCCTTATCCCTGTAGGCGGGGGGATTCTACAGGCAGTGGGGTCAGAAGTGACAA